AACTGGACAGTTAAATATTGCAGTGTAGGTTAAAATAGTGAAAACAGGCGTGAAGTGGAAGCAATTCCGTGTTTCGTCTGATAAGTGTGGTGCCGGAGGCCTAATTTTAGTCTCTTTCCATTTCCACCTTTCTTTAAGTATGGACGGGAAGGTAGACAGAATTTGATTAGGAGACGCATATGAATGGGAAATGTCCTCTTTATTTGCGTCTCTTCCTCCGTCAATGAAGGGTAGGCAACGCATCTGCAATTGCAGATGTCTATGGGCAGCGGTCGCTTTCCATTTCGGTGGATTCAGGCCGCTTGCTCGTTTGCCACATTATATTATAAAAGGTAAAGTGTAACGTTTATTACACTGTAATCGCTGTTATACGCGTCAGTTTTAATGATACAGTCCGACTGTTCAGTGAAAACCGAACGACCTGAACTTTTATAAACTATATAAACCAGCCAGTCTTAAAATCTGTACGTCATTTTTTATAACATTTGAAAACATAATTTGATATAGAAAAAAACACTGGTGGAAAATTTTTTGAATTTTTTCGTGACAAAAAAATAAAAAGGCAAATCTTTTTATTTTAAAATATTGTTATAGGAAATGTGACCAGGCAATTACACAATCATTTAATTCTTACATAGCCTTACATAACAAAAACTTATAATACAAGTGGATAAGCTTTAAAAGTACTTTGTGTTTCTTCAACTTAAAACGCTACTTCAAAGTCCTCGTGAGATGATTCATTTGCCAGATATCGAGTGATATTGAAATAGTCCCTCAATCGGTTCCTGATTGCTTTATAATTGATGGCATTAACTTCGTTTAACAACGCGATAAAATCATGCTACTGAGATTCAAAATACGGAAACAGAAGTAAATTTTAAAACCAATAAGGAACATAGAGAGAAATATGTCACCATTGAGGGGGAGCCTGCCCTAAGTTAGGAGTGACTAGGACATAGTCAACCACATTGCGGGACTTCACACATATCTTTGAATTTCTTAACCGATATCCATCACGATGTTTTTTTTACCGTAATGTCGGGTAAATTATGTACATATGAATATCGAAAATTACATCGGTACACGGGGGGATTCGAACCCAAGACCTGTCAACTATACTTGTAAAATTGTCTAAAATTGTTCTCTGTTTGCGTGTATTTTTAGTAACTCAAGCTGGAGTACTTATTTTATATACGACGTCTAGAATATATGTAAGGAGAAAGTACTCTGTATGCACAGAGTAGACTGCAGAGAGCGCACGTCCAGTGCACAGATCTGTGCAGTTATTTGCGATGCGCGTAATGCTCCGTTAGCCACTTTCGCAGATATCTTGATCGAAAACATGCTAATTTAATTACTGGCTTAAGTATTTCGAACTTTATTGACGAACTAAGGGAAATCCTTAGTGTGGATTTTCATAGACAATCCCAAGACTACGGCAGTAAGTCTGGCCATTTCCAGTTATAGAATGAAATAACTAGAAGTTACAAAAGGTATGTAGGTAGGTACTTTAGTTTGTGTACTCCGGCACTAAAGTGTCAGATAAGTTATCAGGCAATTATACAAACGTCATTCTGATATCGAGAGCGATCGTGATAACAGGATTCCTCAGCCGTGTATGCGACAAATTATATCAAAATGGAAGAGGACAGAAATAGTTGCTAGATTGTCACGCTCACTGACCGTAATACCATGACCACACAGACGTGTCATTATGTTTCGTCTTGTACGAACTTTTGAACTTACTGTACGTGCCAATAACTGGCATGGTAGTTCCTACTCCATTCTATTGCTACGTGTACACCCTAAGCTGTCCTAAAGCCAAGCTTACGATTGTGCGTGTCCTTACAGAGTCTAAAGCATTTCAAGCAAAGTTTACCTTCACCTTTATAATGTTAAAGATCAAATACCATTTTAATCACGATTTTGTTTTTGAGATGAGAAAAACAAGAACTATAGGGGTAGACAATTATAAATGAATAACTCTCGAGAATTGAACTCAAAATGCATCGTAAAATGTATCTACAAACATTCTGACACTTCTGTAAAAAAAATATTGATTACTAGCTGTTCCCGTGCGGCCTCATCCGCATGAAATTATAGAAACTTTATTTTATTATTTACGAGCTGTTGCCCGCGACTTAGTCTGCGTGGTATTAGAAAACATACAAACTATATAAATTACAAAAAGCTACGTATCCCTCGGGAACCGGACAATTCTCGGGGATGAAGCTTTACCCATGTGTACTCCAGACTTTGTTTTATATCTGTGGCAAATTTCAATAAGATATGTTGAACCGTTGCAGAATGATCGAGTAAACATTAAAAAACTAAATTAATGAATCCCACGGGAACCGTAACTATTCCCGGGATAAAAAGTAGCCTATATGTTCTTCCAGACTATGCTCTAAACCTATGCCAAATTTCATGGAGATCCGTTCAGCCGGTTATGCTACAAACGCTAACAAACATCCATCCATCCATCTAAACTTTCGCATTTATAATATTAGTAAGAACTAAGATTGTTTATCATGCTCTTGTCCTTACGAAAGTTCTGTACTTCCTCTTCCATACATCACTACCAGCTGTCATATTTAAATTTCCTTCTCACACATAACCTCTTTCATACAACCCTTCCATACTTTCTTTACTCTTTCTCTACCTTTGTAGCTAACATTCAACCATGATACTTGGTTTATTTGATATCGAGAACTCTTTACATCACTAGCTTACGCCCGCGACTTTAGCTTGGATTAAAAAAATGCAGCCTATGTCTTCTTCCAGACTGTCCTCTACATCTATGCCTTTCATCGCAATCCGTTCAGTAGTTTAGGCTACAAACTTTAAAAATATCCATCCATCTAAACTTTCGCATTTCGTAAGATAAGAAAATTTAATTCTTTTAGGACAAGTTTTTGTAACAGAAATTAGGCTTTTATTTCCAGTCGTAGTGACGTGTGACGTCACATCGTCTATCGCTCAGTACTCACGTAACATCAATGGAATGCGACAAAAAAATTACTTTGCCATCCTTTATCTGTTTGTCTATTTTATATTTAGTGATTTGCATCGTTCAGTATACTAGATTTAAAACTTTGTTTAGAATAGTATACAGTTATGGTTTATTTCTAGTATGTTGTTAGCAGTCGACCGCGATTTCTTCCACGTGAAAATACTAAGTAGCCAATAAGTCCAGACTGTAATCAATGTTTCAACATCCAGATCGGTTTAACCAAACTCGCATGATCTTAGAAGTTACAAATTACCAAATCGAAGTAACCATCTCTTTAAGACCAAAATGTTAACTTCTAACTTGAAAAAGCTAACAAGTGCTCTTGGTACATATTTAAAACGTAAATGACAAGAAAAGTTGCTGCTTTGTAAAGAAAGACGTCTTAAAAATTCAACCTTTTTATCGCTACCGCTATTTTTATGGCCAACGATTTACGTATTAGGTCAATAAAACTAAATCCCCGTCAAAACTATAGAGAATTCATACAGTGTATAGACTATGTTGTAATTTCCTTGACCTTTATACAAATGTTTAATAAAAATAAATGTTGAATACAATGAGATTGTTTTGTCTAAAGTAGACTTAACAATATCTTAGAACAGAGTTTAGACATTCCATTTCTGTTTAGTTTAACAAAGAAGTTTTGGCGCCAAATGTGACTAAAACATAGAGATTTTGGTTTTTATTCATTTTACTAGTATTGTAAATGTGAAATTTTATGAGGATGGATGTTTGTTAGAGTTTGTAGCCTAAACGGCTAAATGGATTCCGATGAAATTTGGTACAGATGTAGAGAGAAGATCTGGAAGAACATATAGGCTACACATTCGTTTTTTCTTTTTAATTCCACGCGGACTGAGTCGCGGGTGAAATCTAGTTTTATATAGTTCTCCAAATGTAGTCGTTCTTAGAACGGTTTTTTGGGGTTTTGGAGTTGTAAAGTTTACTTTTAACTTTAGTTTTTCACTTGGTTACTTAAAGTTTTTATGTTACTGCAAATTTTCTTATACATTTGCGAAGTATATGAACATTATTATTTTCCTTATTACTAATGAAGTTTCCTTTTTAGAATTATAAGTTAATAATATTAAGTTTATTTTAAGTTATATATATTGTTGTTTTAATTAATTTTAACTACATGTCGGCTCTGAACCTTTTAGTGGGGACGTATAGTTAGCTAGTGATGACGTTATACTGGAAACTATTCGATCATAAGGTAACCTGAGCAATACTTTATGGTCATATTTTGAGTCATTATTTAAATTTGCTCAGAGCCTGCGAACTAACATATAGATGACGTCACTTATGCTTGTTAGACACAACCTTTGTTGGCACATAAGAGAAGTTATCACTATTATTGAGTAACTAGCTGTTGCCCGCGACTTCGTCAAAAGTAGCTACCCTTCAGTGAAATTCTGATCCAAATCGGACCAGCTCCGGAGATTATCCGGAACAAACGACAGACAGACAGACAAAAAAAAATACGATTTTCGTTATTGGCATCGCAAATACATCATCTTTCCGAAATATGGAATTTTTCATTTGATTACAGACACTCCAATTTTATTATATGTATAGATAATACTTCATATAAGTTACATTTGTACTTTTTAAAGTATAATTCTAGAATACTCTAAAATAATCAATAAACTTTATACTGTTTATAATCGAAAATCTATAGATTCGATTTAAAAAAACGTTATTAGGTAATTTAATGGAATGTTATGTTTGAAGCGTGACAAAAACCTGCGTGTGCATATTAACGGGCGAGATTCGAACTACTGACCGGCGCACAACGGTCCGATATCAAGGTCAAACGTGGATAATATTGCCGTTTGCAGAATCAACATTTCTTTATAAAATTAATCATAAACATTTGGATAAAACAAAAATAGATTTTAAAACACTATAAGGAAATACACTGAGATATAAAAATCCACATAAAATAACATATTTTTCAATTATAAAATCACAATAGATCACCGACACTAGATAACTACAACAGCCACTTCACTTAACACACTTGTGTTAACTTAACACACAACACGTCCTCGTTTAACCGCGTCCGGTCGCTCACTGACAAAAATGACGCCATTCCTCTGCTTTACGCCGTAGATGGCGGCTTTTCGCCAGATATGCGAATTAGAGTTACCTAAAATGTTTGTATAAAACCATTTTATCTTGCATTTACTAATGTTAGATAACCACGCACTCCTAATAGTATTCAGGTATTATTTTAGACGATTTGCTAAACTGTTTGCCTTCCTTAAAACAAACAAAACTTTCATATAACTTCTCTTTGTGAAGAACGCATAAAGAAGCTTCTAGAGAGATTCATGATAGAAAAAAAAATATAAAAATGTAATACTTTCAGTCTTACATGGACATGTTATGCGACGAGACGATAGGGACATAAACCAGAAATTGTTAAGAATGAATGTGGATGGCTTTAAAGGAAGTAGAAGACCGAAGAAAGTATGGATTGTGTTGCACGGGATATGCTAAAGGGAGTGGATTCAGATATGAGGGCTGATAGAGATGTATGGAGCAGCACATACTGTGCCGACCCTCCGTAAAGGATAAGGGCAAGTGGATGATGAAAACTTTCAGTTCCAAATACTTTTAAAATAGCTATAAGCTATACTCCTAGAAAGTGGAACCAAGTAACCCTTTTAAAGAACTAGTCGTATAATCTAAATTCTTAAGATAATTTCAAAACGTATTCTAAAAATAGAAAATACAGTGTGCAATAAATTATGTCGCAACATGGCTGACGAGTCGCATTATCAAAAAACACAGCAATTAAATCCGTATTCGATAAGTGTGCGTTATCTTTAATATTAAAAAAAAAGATTTTCTCTGATACTATCTGAATTAAAGTCTAGTAATTTTGCTGCTATCCTAACCTTGGATACGTTAATAATGTTCTATCTAGACTTATAATAAAACTAGCTTTCGCCTGCGATTCCATCCGCGTGAAATTAAAGAAAAAGCGAGTAGCCTATGTGTTCTTCAAGACTATCCTCTACATCTATACCAAATTTCATGGAAACCGGTTAAGCCGTCAAGGCTACAAACTCTAACAAACATCCATCCATCCATCTAAACTTTCACATTTATAATATTAGTATGAAGTGTGATTGGAGTGTCTGTTTGTAATCAAAAGAAAAATTCCAGATTTCCGGAAGATTATGTATTTACATTGCTCATAACGAAAATCGCATTTAAATTTTTTTGTTTGTTTGTATGACTTCAAGCTTCGTTTACTCCGGGTAATCTACGGTTGGGTTGATTTCGATAGAACTTTCACTGAAGGGTAGCTGACATAGACAGGCATATTATAGGCTACTTTTTATTTCAATTATTTGATTCCATTTATAATACTACCATGTAAAAAAAAACTAAACATGACTAAAGAGGAAAACTCTTTTAAACCTGACCAAATCATAAAAGGTAAAAACTAAAACAGAGCAAGAACCCAGTGTTCCATTAATCAATACCTCCTGGCTGAGGATAGCAGCGACGGTTGTTACAAACAATCGCGTCTATTTTAGTATGAGGTGCGGAACCCCCGCGGACGCGCGCGCCTCACATATGTCATACACATGTGAGACACGCCCCGAAATCTACTGCTGTTTGTACAACACGACTTAAATTTACACTTTGTTTTTCACAAATAACTTAAATCAATTGCTTAACAAAATAGAGTAATTAAACCTCATTTATCATTCGTAAAGGATCTTATGTCTATTCTGCAAGTAATGTTGAGACTACTAACTGACAGAAACTATATACAAATGTACTCGTAAGTTACTTCATAACAATAATATTTTAAGATTAATCAATCATATATTAACATTGTTATTAAATATCATGCCGTTACGTCCCCGTGTCGTGTACTCTAAATGCCATTTCGTTTTATGAATCACGAAGGACCAAAACTGTGCACATCTGTAGCGGAAGGTTCATTCTAAAATTGTCACGAGATTTTAAATGTTGCGACGAGATACTACGAAATAATTAACTTTTTCATAGAAAACAATTGTATTATGTTCTTTTTATCAACAGTCTATAGTCGACATTTGTCTGATGATGGGTAAATCAAACTGGTTGAATACTTCAAAGTTTATTCTTGCATATTTGCATATGTGTTAAACCCTTACACGACAGACGCACATAAAGAGGATATTTCCCTTACCCATGTGTCTTTTCACAAACCTCTAAGAAACGGACTAAAAGTAGACACAATTATCAGTCGAAACGTAGAATTGCTTCCACTTCACGTCTGTCTTCTGTGTGGTAGTGGTATTGTAGGCGATTCAGCACATCCCTAAGTTAGAAACATTAGCGTGCGCACTTCCTTGGACTAAAATATCGCACAACTGTTGTGTGATTGTCGATTGTTTGTCAACCAACTGTTTAGTTGTACAACTAAAAATCGAATAGTGTGCACTTCCATATAAACTCATTGGAATACGCGCGACTAAACAGTAAGATCGTATAGTCATATTAAAGACGCTGTTTCATATTTAAATGATTCAATATTTGGCGTAAGTCAAAAAAAAATACAAAAATACAACTATTTTAGCATTTGTAGTAAAATGAATAAATTGTATTAACTAAAATATGCACAAAATAGCTTAGTCCTATAGTTGGAGGTATTTTAAATAAATTTTAATTCTTATGTTAACTACATAGAGTTTATTTTCGAATGCTAAATATAAGTTGGAGTTTTTAATGGCCATACGATGATGTCATCAGCAAGCTGATGTAACAAAGGGACCGTTTTCTTTGTTATTTTAAATTTTAGGGTTCCTTTAGTAAATTAAAAAAAAAACAAATACTATAACTAACATATTATTTTGAAAATTCTACAAGTAAATAAAAAAAAAATCACAATAATAAGCACGTACTACATAAAAGATGGAATTTAATATTTGCATATATAGATCGGAAGATATTTTCCGAATATACGGAACCCTGCATAATATCGTTTGTCGCCTACATATTTCCGCAGCCGTGACATTGTTTAGGATAGCCCGTAATCGGCGCACATTCCTTCACTTTACTTTCGAGTTGGGTCGCAGCGACGCTACACATTCCAATAGTAAGCCTTATAAAAGGAGAGGGGATATACACTATTGGAGAAAAGTTCTAACTTTTTCTTATTAACACCATAAATATTACAACTAACTCCGCTAACCGAGGTAGACAGCGCGCTGGATAAACAACTTTCTTGCTTCTTAAAGGGCCTTCTTTTGAAATTCGGCTACCATGAGTCCAACTAGTTCTTCCTAGACGTGTATATAAATTACTAGCTGTTGCTTGCGACATCGTCCGCGTTAAATTTAAAAAATGTAGCTTTGTAACGGTGAAAGATATTTTGAAATCGGCCCAGCAGTTCTTGAGTTGTTTCCATACATACAAAAATACAAATCTTTTCTTTTATATTAGTATAGATAACATAATATAGACTAGCTATTGCTCGCGGCTTAGTCCGCGTGGATTAAAATAAAGTAGTAGATAATGACTATGTTAGTGATAACATAGCTTTTTAGTGTTGCAAGGATTTTTGAAATTAACAGTAGTTGTAAAATATTAGTTATTATAAAAAAATATTAATAAAACTATATTTAAGGTAAACAGTCAGAAAATTAAGTTTAATGTAAACATATAAGATAAGACTGTTTGTCCTCATGTGGTGAGATCATCTGACCTTGGCAGTCTCCTTGCATGACACTTTTTTATGATAGATAGTTAAAATTTCTCTATAACCTTGTAACAAGATCTTTTATAGTGATTTGACACTTTTACATTGATGGAATACATGTATGGATGTATGGATGATATTATCCCGGTTATATTACTAATTTTACTAATAAAAATGCGAAAGTTTAGATGGATAGATGTTTGTTAGAGTTTGTAGCCTACACTGCTGAATGGGTTTTGATGAAATTTGCCATAGACAGTATAGTAGAGGATAGTCTGGAGTCTGGAAGAACAATTTTTAACTCCACATGGATGGAGTCGTGGGCGATAGCTAGTATCATGTAAGTATCAATATATTTCTATTAAAAAGGGGTTATTTATGTAGAAATATAATTTTAGAGTGATAAAATGGTTTACGATAGTTTACTATCATTTCCTCAAAGGCCGGCAACGCATCTGTAGTTCCTAGTGTTGCGGATGTCCATGGGCGTCGCTGACCACTTCAGTGTTCTCGCCACTCGTTTGCCCCCTTTATTATATAAAAAAAAACGAGCTTTTGCTTGCGATTTTGTCCACTCGAAATAAAAAACCACATTTACAAGTAGCACTGTTTTTTATTGTTCTTTGTTGTATTAATGTGTACAAAACATCACATTTGTAGATTTTAAATCAGAACTCATGCAATTTATATCTGTACTAATATTATAAAGAGGAAATATTTGGATTTTTGTATGTATATGATAACTTTAAAGCAACTGGGCCGATTTCAAATTTCTTTCACCGTTAAAAAGCTATGTTATCAGTAACATATGCTATGTTTTTTGTTATTATTTTACTTTTATGGAGGCGAAGTCGATAGCATCAGCTAGTAATAAATATTTGTATTCTTATTGGAAACAAAACGGAAAGTATCAATAAGTGTTAAAAATGTGTTTTTATAAGTGTTAAGACTAGTAATTTTTATAAGCCAAATTATCTTTAAAAATCTTTCCGCTATGATCTAAGATAAAATTAAGTTTTTAAATTTAAACATGTGTGAATAAAGACTGTAAGTAAATTATTAGTTATATTGTTTTCTTGATATGTCACAAACATAACAGTAACAGTAAGACAAGTATTTGTCTTGTCTGCTTGTTTATGGTATTTATTATGTCAATTGCAAGCGGCAGTTGACATAGAATGAAAAGATAGTACAGCTTATCAAATATGCTGTTGTTATGCCATCCACTGTAAGTATTTAAATCCTAGATTGCAGACCTAGGTCATAAGTTTAAATCTAGCATTCTAAAACAAGCAAAAATCGGCATGATTCGCTTGTATTGCCGAATTTCAGTTCGAATTTTAAAAACCATACAGAATATAT